TATGCGAGCAACGAATCAAATTATGGACAATAAATTTACATCAAACGTGTATAATGAGGCATTTGTTTCGATTGAGGACATATGTTTGGCAATCTCTAACAAAGCATTGGTAGAGTTGGGAATGACTGCTCCGAATCGATCTGCAAACAACCTTTTCAGTCGTGATTTGCAGCGGGAAACGCACTTTGATATCGAAGAAATGGGTACACTTGATCAAATGAATCTTCCGAAATGTGTTCCAGAACAACACATATTGTGTGAAATCATGTTGCATGCAATTTCCTAGATGGGCCTGGAGGCATAAGCAAAACTTTCCTAATTTCACTTTTTTTGGCAACCATACGATCACGAAAGAATATTGCACTGGCGATCGCATCATCTGAAATTGCAGCAACTCTTTTGGATGGTGGCTGAACAGCGCATTCAGCACTAAAATTGTCGTTGAATATGTAAATCACTGAGACAACAACATGCAACATAAATATAAATTCTGGATCTGGTAAAGTACTTCAATCATGTCAGCTCAGTATGTGGGATGGATGTACTATGGCAGAGAAAAAAGCATTGGAAGCCCTTTATCGTACGCTATAAAGATTTGAGAATAAACGAACAGCTCTTCTGGGTCGCACCTATTTTATGATCTGGTGATTTCTGACAAATTCTACCAGTCATACAACGTTTCACAGCTGCAGATAAATGAAATCATCAGTTTGATGGCGACATGTACAGAAATTGACTTTGAAGACCAGTGTGCCGGTACAATTACACAATGATGCATACGCTGAACTTTTCGCAAAACAATTGTTGGACATTGGGAATGGGAAAATGGCATTCGATGAATCCACACAATCCAACAAGCTTCTGTAAAATTACTGCAACCACCGAGGAGTTGATTCATAAAGTTTTTACAAATATTACCCAAAATTACAAAAATCATCAATGGCTCAGTACACGTTGCTATATTAGCAGCCAAAAGCAACGATGTCAATGTCATCAACTTAAGCATTCAAAATAAAATGATACGCGAAACGACAACGTATAAGTCTATCGATAATTGTAACGTTCCAATAAGAGAGGAAAACTAGATCCAATCCTCAGTATATTCCCGCCCCCACCCCGTAAGCTCCCCACCGACATATAGATCCCTGCCCAAGTGATTCTCCAAACAAATAAAGCTCTGTACCCTTCCATTTCTCGAGAGGTTCCTCTCCCTTAAGATCTCTACCAAATGTGGACGTACCTCTATAATTAATTTTCCCCCCCCCCCCCCCCGCTCAAACGTGACATACTTAACATTATAAGTACACTAATCGTGTGAAATTCCTACAGCGATTAGCCACAAAGTTTGCTTAAGTTAAACACGACCCACATGGGCAAGACATTAGCCTATTTAATTTATGTTTAAATGAAAATATTTATTTAAAAAGTTTAAACATGAAGCGTGTTTGATGAAAAACTCACAAAGGAATAGTACGTCGAATATCAAGAAAAGAGAGCCCAGACATTTTGACCGAGTCGGGTGCAGCTTTTAAGAGCCGAACAAGGTCCGAGTATGTCGAAACTATAGAAAAGGTGCCACTCTATTTATAGGAAGAAAGATGTACCCTCAAGAAAAAAAAAACATTTCAGATATCATTCTTTAGAACTAATAGAAGGTAAACAACATTTTCCCAATCAAGAGAGTTGTAGAGTGAAGTAAAAAAAAATGGTGCTACACATTAAATCGGTGTCATCAATAGCAGAACGAAAAAGAGAGAGAGGGGCGGTTTTGTTGAATGAAACGGCTTTGGTGACTAGAAACAATGTCAACATACAGGGTACGGCATAATACTATTTTCATACATATAATGATGTATGTTAAGAATGAAACTGATAAATAACGCTATAATCAATTAATTTGAGTAAGCTGATGACGGGCTAAGTCGCTGTGTGTTAGACTCGAAGTTCAAATTCGTGTGTATGCATACTACTGAGAGCTTGGTCAATCTGTATTTAACTTTATGTTCTCATATTGGGAATAAAGTAAGTCAGTGCTTTTCAATGATGAGGACAGAAACATTTAGTTTAGTTTTACCTAATCAAAATAATCCTGATTGTAAAGTAAACAAATATAAATCAATTACAACGTTTTCTATTCAAGTAAGAGCACTTATATTGTCATAATGTCAAGCTTATTATAGTTGTCCTTTTATTAAATTGATCAAACATGTTTTTACAAACGTAAAATGAAAAAAAATACAAACAGTAACTGAAGATTTTTTTTGTTTATTCCATAGTACCGAGAGCGCAAAATGTATCAACCAACTCTGACTATCACCGGATGCATAACCACAGTCATCTATCTTTATATCTTCAGTTGTAATAGAGGTAAGATTATTCTTTCAACTGATAACATGTCATTAAATGTATGTGTATCTTTTCTAAAGGTAGAAAATTCTCGGGGGCTGGGTTTCTTCTGAAGACCAACTTGATGACCAGAGCCTACCCTGTCATGGAAAATATCCAAATTTCAGGATGGCGTAGTAATTTCATCATAACGTTGTAATAACTTGCAAATCACGAGAAAAAAAGGGAATTATTTTCTATAGCGGAAGCTCATTGGACGCTTGAGTAGAGCGAGGCAGAGCATGATTTTTATCTGACAGGGAGCAGACATGTTTTATTTCTCTCGTATGGATAATTCAAGTATTGAAATATTGTGATTCAATTGTAATGTGGAATATTGAATAATTGTATGATTATTATATCCCAGATTTATTTCAGGATATCCTCTTGGCAAGACTTATTATTTTTGTGTTAATTTATATAATAAAGTATTGTATAATTTCATTGGACGTTGACACTTCATTGTGTGAGAGAACAGCTGAAATTTCTAAGTTTGAGTTTAAGGAGTGAGAGAATTAATTATACGAGTGATAGCGGCATCCATGATAGTGATCAAAGTATTAGCTAACCGTGTTAAGGATTGCTACATCGGAAATAATAGCATGTGTTACAGTGTGCTTGCCCTCCACAAAATAATGAACCCGTACAAATCATGTGGTCCTGAAAAACACCAGTGCTCAAATAAATTGCCAAATAAATTGCTTCTGCTCTGACAATTCTCTTCCAATCGTCGCTGTGGACAGACAATGTTACAGCAGACTGTAGAATAGCGCATGTCACTACAATCTGCAAGAAAATGGAGCATTCCGACCCTGTCAACTATCGTCCGATATTCCTAGCCAGGGTGGTTTGCAAACTGTCGCAGCATATACTCATAAGCGCTGTCATAAATAATCTTGAAAGCCAAAGTAAACTCAGTGACAGTCAGCATGGCTTCTGACTTAATACATCATCTCAAACCCAGCTCCTTGAATTCGGAGAGTGATCAAGCAAGAAAACTGATGTGCTAGGGATAGACTTCTCAAAGTATTTGTCAATCTGTTTTACACAAATTTAAGAGATATGGAATCCTTTGGTTTTTTTTGTTTATTTTGCTGGCATCTGTCCATCACAATGTGATGATGGTGTAGGCTTCACAGGACGAAATCCACAAGGTCTTATATTATTCTTCAAGTATTATTAGATGCCTCCAAACAGAAAATCGCCTCTCTAAACACGCAGCTGGATAACCCAAGGGGACATCATTTGGATAAAGGGACCTTGGCACCAGTGGCATCGCTGGAGTTGTCGAATGTTTCATTGTAAAAATGTTATTTCCGCCTTTCGCGACTCCATCTCTGGATTTGATTTCAGAGTTTCCTTCTCGTAGATGAGTTGCCATGAAAGGTTAACGACGAGTCCCATCTCCCCGGAGAGCTGGTGATGTTTTGAGCTTTGGCTGGAATTTAACTCCAGACCACCAACTTGAGATTTGCTCAGTTTAGACCACTCGGCCACCCAGCACAATATATAGATATAGTTACTATGGAATCTAACTGACTACTAAAACCCGAAACTCTAGCGTCCTCAGAAACCGATGCCAGGCAGTAGGGGTGGACAATACGAGCTCTTCCATTGTTAGTGTTACGTCAGAGGTCGCAAGGCTCATGCTTTTTCCTAGCATACATCTATGACCTACCAGAGAACTGACATCCCAAGCAAGCCTGTTTGCAGATGTTCTGCATATAACTTACATCTTGAAATACGAGCTTTGCAATTTAAGGATCAGGAGCCTAATATGAAAAGGTTTAATGCTCAAACTAAACATTAGAGGAACGTTTTCTTGCTTATCTCTTCACTGTTCATACTCTCTAATTGTGTTATTTTTACGTTGACAACAATGTTTTATCCGACTGTTTTGGAAAACCAACCATCAAAACAATGGAGATGAATTTACGATTTTTTGTATTTAATATGAGTACATTATCATGTTCAAGTAGACTGAACTATAATCTATTTTATTTTAATATTGTTGTGACATTCAGAAAAATGATTTTACTTAACTCAATCTATTTATTACTGGGCAGAGTTCAATTTGTATGCTTTGTTACATGTGCTTTAAAATGAAAAAAATAATTCTTGGCTTCTTTTTCCCCCTGTCATAAGACATAACATGTTTTCTAATCAGTCTACTGTTTTGTAATATCTTTTATATTAGAGTAACATATTTGCTTCATATTTTAGGGAACATTATATAATTAGAATAAAGTGGATTGTGTTACTTGTTTCTCGGTATTTCACAAATTTATCTCTGAATATAATATTTATACAAACCTATTTTATAACTCAAATGTTTTATTTATAGCCATAAAAAAACTGGAACAAAACAATCAAACATATTTAAGAATAGATTTTTAAAAATAATAATATATTATTATTAAAAGTACACATTAATTTAACTAAAGACTTCAACATCTTATAACCTAGTATTTTTGCTTTCGAATTTTTAACACCTACTTTTAAAAAAAAAAATTCTAAGTTGAAGGCGAATCCTTGGATCTAGATACATCAACTGTAGTAAGTATATCCTCCAGAAATGCTATCCCAGGAAAGATTGTAAAAAGGGCTTATTCAGGATGCTCAAAGTCTAAATATTCAAAGAGCGCGAATTCTGGAGATGGAAATGGTAGGTACAATACACACAATTTGTAAGCTTTTTTCTTCTTCGCTCGTGGCAATAGTCAAAAACTAATTTTAACGATCTCTTAAATGGGGTTTCAATAAAAGGGTTTTACACGAAGAATGCATAATTCCTTGCGATCTCTTCTAGCACTGCATGCAAGACACGCCATAACTCTATATGTAATCTATTATTCTTGGCAAAATTTTATTAGGTTTTGAAGAAAAGGTGTAGGGATAACTACCTGGCTCCGTTTATTCTCTCCACCTCTTGTTTTGCGATACGGTAATCCATAATTTAAGTAAAATAGACTTTCCAATTGCGGTAGTTTTTCATCCAATAGCGCAAATATTCCTGAAAGTGACGAATTTCTTCACTGAACGACTCTCATTTTCTTAAAGGGTTTAGAATTTCATCACAGGTTCCTATTGAAGTCATATAATATGTCTTGTCGGAGCGGGTGCTACAATAAAACGGGTTTTTCGCGTGCCCAAAAAATACATTGCTGCAATTAAGAAAACGATCATGGTTCGTGGAGCCCATGACACACTTCTATTGCTGCCAACAAATACTACTTACCAGCTAAGTGCTATTTGTTATTTACATTTGTATACCGTTTTTTCTGTTGTTTTGTTCGCTGAAAAATGCTTTCTGCCGACACGTTCGCTGTTTTGTTGCGTTTATTTTTTCAGGTTTAACCCTACTCTGTTTTAGTCCATGACAGCAGTGTTGAGAATACCTTGCACGTAGCGGGATCCAACTCTTATCCAAAGTATGGGGTTGGGTCATCGGTGGAGGTTCTAGATTGACACCTTGAATAGTGATTGTGTCGCTATTAATATCAGACGGGTCAAACAAAGATGATCGTACCAATGGTGTCGTACAAACATCCAGTGTCGTTTAGACTATGGGAAGGAGTGTCGTTGAGACTACAGGAAGGAGTGTCGTTGAGACTACGGGACGGAGAGTCGTTGAGACTTACGGGAAGGAGTGTCGTTGAGACTACGGGAAGGAGTGTCGTTGAGACTACGGGAAGGAGTGTTGTTGAGACTACAGGAAGGAGTGTCATTGAGACTACTGGAAGGAGTGTCGTTGAGACTACGGGAAGGAGTGTCGCTGAGACTACTTGAAGGAGTGTCGATGAGACTACGGGAAGGAGTGTCGTTGAGACTACGGGAAGGTGTGTCGTTGAGACTACGGGAAGGAGTGTCGTTGAGACTACGGGAAGGAGCGTCGTTGAGACTACGGGAAGGAGTGTCGTTGAGACTACGGGAAGGAGTGTCGTTGAGACTACGGGAAGGAGTGTCGTTGAGACTACGGGAAGGAGTGTCGTTGAGACTACGGGAAGGAGTGTCGTTGAGACTACGGGAAGGAGTGTCGTTGAGAATACGGGAAGGAGTGTCGTTGAGACTACGGGAAGGAGAGTCGTTGAGACTACGGGAAAGAGTGTCGTTGAGACTACGGGAAGCAGTGTCGTTGAGACTACGGGAAGGAGTGTCGTTGAGACTACGGGAAGGAGTGTCGTTGAGACTACGGGAAGGAGTGTCGTTGAGACTACGGGAAGGAGTGTCGTTGAGACTACTGCAAGGAGTGTCGTTGAGACTACGGGAAGGAGTGTCGTTGAGACTACGGCAAGGAGTGTCGTTGAGACTACGGGAAGGAGTGTCGTTGAGACTACGGAAAGGAGTGTCGTTGAGACTACGGGAAGGAGTGTTGTTGAGACTACCGGAAGGAGTGTCGTTGAGACTACTGGAAGGAGTGTCGTTGAGACTACGGGAAGGAGTGTCGTTGAGACTACGGGAAGGAGTGTCGTTGAGAATACGGGAAGGAGTGTGGTTGAGACTACGGGAAGGAGTGTCGTTGAGACTACTGGAAGGAGTGTCGTTGAGACTACGGGAAGGAGTGTCGCTGAGACTACGGGAAGGAGTGTAGTTGAGACTACGGGAAGGAGTGTCGTTGAGACTACGGAAAGGAGTGTCGTTGAGACTACGGGAAGGAGTGTCGCTGAGACTACGGGAAGGAGTGTCGTTGAGACTACGGGAAGGAGTGTCGTTGAGACTACGGGAAGGACTGCTGTTGACTAAGACTTTTTTTAAAAATCGACTGATATGATCTGTCCTCCTTATTATGACTATGAATCGGAGTACAGATACTGGCCACGACTGAAAATTGTGATGTATTCCTACAGCAGCAATCTGGTTCAGTAACTCTCAATTTCCATTTCAAAATCATGATAATAGTGGATAGTAGATTTTTGATACTCACACGACTTCTTTTGAATTTTATGAAACTGATCGTTGTTTGTAGTTCGGCACTCAAATAAAATGGCCGGAATGCTTCGTATGATCAGAACCAGTTCCCACATCAATATTTGTATCCTTGTGCAAGCGAGTGTCATGATTGTCCTCATCTTTACCATGCATTTCCCTGGTCTCTTGGGGAGCAGAGGGGTGGCGAAATACTTTTTCTATCTTACTATCTAGTTGGGTTTGTCTACACCTGAGTCTCTCTTAATCTATCTCATTCATCCATTTTGCTTGTTCAATGTTGGCCTGGGCTCTTATTTACTGGTAAGTCGTAATTTCCTCCAAAATGACAGAGTGCTCTCTCTCTGTTTTTCATGGCTCTATAATGTATTAAAAAAGGTCTTGTCCCGTCAATCCACCTGATTTTTCTTCAGTTCTAAATTTAGTTTCTATTTTTTTAAACTCTGCCATACTGAACGATTGCCGATCTCTCAAGATATACAAGGGAAACACTTGTGAGTTGAACAAAGATTTTGCTTCTAACAACAATAAGTATACAATTAAAAACAGTTGCTTTCATAAATGATACATTTAATTACGAATAATATAATTCTTATTTATGAAATGAGCATACGATTGTGTACACATCAAAATACTACAACATATTTATTATATGTATTCAAAGGTCAGGGAGTTGAACAAAGATTTCGTTTCCAACAACAATAAGTCTGATACATATAATTAAGAATAATATAATACTTAAATATGGAATGAGCATATCTTTTGTACACATCAAAATACTACAACCTATTTATCATATATATTCAAAGATCAGCGACACGTCACTATTTACGGGCTTGGGTTAAAATGACTTTGACTACTGAGTTCCTGTTAACAACTCTCGCATGTTCGTCTCATTTGCTCGTTTCTAGGAACCACTCTCGTATGAGCGTCACGCTCGCATTTGTCTAGGAACCCCTCTTGTATGATCGTCCCAAAAGCTCTTGTCTAGGAACCACTCTCAAAAAAACGTCTCACTTGCTCGTGTCTAGGAACCAATCTCATATGAGCGTCTTACTTGCTCGTGTCTAGGAACAAATCTCTTATGAGTGTCACACTTGCTCGTGTCCAGCAACCACTCTCATATGAGCGTCTTACTTGCTCGTGTCTACGAACAACTCTCGTATGAGTGTCTCACTTGCTTGTGTCTAGGAACCACTCTCGTATGAGTGAAACATTTGTTCGTGTCTAGGAACAACTCTCGTATGATTGTCACACTTGCACGTGTCTACGAAAAACTCTCGTATGAGTGTATCACTTGCTCGTGTCTAGGAACCACTCTCGTATGATTGTCACACCTGCTCGTGTCTAGGAACCACTCTCGTATGAGTATCACACTTGCTTCTTCTTCTTCTTTATTTTAAGGGCCCACGATCAATGAATTGATCATTCTGGCTCCTATGTTTCAGAGGGGTTTGCGATGTTACTGTCCATGGGTTTCAATGGGATACTTCACTGGTTGCAAGGGCGACTCAGCAGTGGTGTTATGAACTGGGGGTTGGAATACAGGAGGCAATAGACACAAATGTATCGAGTGTAGCCGCCTCAACTGTTGCTTTTGGAAGCTTGTTCCAGTCCCCTATTGTCTTCGGCAGGAATGAGGAGCTCAGTACTTTGTTCTTGTTTTTACCAGCCGGAACTGTTTGTCGTGACTTCGTCGCAGTCTGGGGGGAAGATGAACGAGTTTCTGTTTGATTCCGGAGCAGTGCACCAGCCCATTTGTTATCTTGTAAAACATGGTGAGCCTGGTAAGTCGTTGTCGTTCTTCCAATGTCGACCAGCCCAGTGTTTCCAGCATGCTGCCAACACTCGAGGTGCTTCTGTAGCGGTTCATGACAAAGCGTGCTGCCCGTCGCTGGACCGCCTCCAACCTGTCGATGCTTTTCTGGGTAAATGGGTCCCTGGTGTTATGAACTGGGGGTTGGAATACAGGAGGCAATAGACACAAATGTATCGAGTGTAGCCGCCTCAACTGTTGCTTTTGGAAGCTTGTTCCAGTCCCCTATTGTCTTCGGCAGGAATGAGGAGCTCAGTACTTTGTTCTTGTTTTTACCAGCCGGAACTGTTTGTCGTGACTTCGTCGCAGTCTGGGGGGAAGATGAACGAGTTTCTGTTTGATTCCGGAGCAGTGCACCAGCCCATTTGTTATCTTGTAAAACATGGTGAGCCTGGTAAGTCGTTGTCGTTCTTCCAATGTCGACCAGCCCAGTGTTTCCAGCATGCTGCCAACACTCGAGGTGCTTCTGTAGCGGTTCATGACAAAGCGTGCTGCCCGTCGCTGGACCGCCTCCAACCTGTCGATGCTTTTCTGGGTAAATGGGTCCCAGACTGTAGAAGCATACTCTAAAATAGGTTGGACAAAGGCTTTATAGGCTTTTTCTTTCACGCTTGAGTTGCCGATCTTCAGATTGCGCCTTAGGAACCCCAGGGTCTTGTTTGCCCGGTTGCACACACTGTTAATGTGCTCGTCCCAGCGGACCTCTCTTTGGATGTTAACACCCAAGTACTTAACGGACGAAAGTGGCTCAAGAATGTGGCCATGCAGTTCGTAAGAGTGGTTTAGAGGGAACCTGCTTCTGGAGACTGACAGCGTTTGGCACTTGACGGGATGAAATTCCATGTCCCAGCTCATCTCCCACTCAGCTAACCGATTGAGGTCTTGTTGAAGCTGGCTCTGGTCAGAGCTGTTAACCATTGTCCTATATACCACCGTGTCGTCTGCGAACAGTCTTGCTTGAGAGGTCAGCTTCTCGGGCAGATCATTGATATATGCTATGAACAAACAAGGGCCTAGCACTGAGCCCTGGGGGACCCCTGACTTAACACCGACAAAGGAGGAGGTTTTGCCATCTACCACTACTGCCTGGCATCGGTCGCTGAGGAAGCTAGAGATCCATGTTTTGGTAGTGCCTTGGATCCCATATCTATGCAGTTTGTGCAATAGCAAGCTATGGTTGACACGGTCAAACGCTTTTGAAAAGTCCAGCACAAGCACATCAGTCTGCTTGCTGTTCTCCAAGTTGGTCGTCAACTCTTCAGCAAATTCAAGGAGTTGGGTCTCGCATGATCTGTTGACTCGAAAGCCATGCTGACAGTCATTGAGTATATTTTTTCTCTCCAGGTGATTCATGACCGCGCTTACGATTATGTGTTCCAATAGTTTACATAATACGCTAGTGAGGGATACAGGGTGGTAATTGGCTGGGTCGTAATGTTCTCCTTTTTTGTAGATCGGAGTGACATACGCTGTTCTCCAGTCAGTTGGAACTTTGCCTGTGAATAGCGACGATTGGAAAAGGATTGTTAATGCAGGAGCATTGTCTACGAATAACTCTCGTATGGGTGTCTCACTTGCTCGTGTCTAGGAACCACTCTCGTATGATTGTCACACCTGCTCGTGTCTAGAAACCACTCTCGTATGAATGATTCACTTGCTGGTGTCTAGGAAGCACTCTCGTATGAGTGTCACACTTGCTCGTGTCTAGGAGCTACTCTCGTATTAGCGTCTCACTTGCTCGTGTCTTAGAATCACTATCGTATGAGCGTTTCACACAATCGTGTCTAAGAACCAATCTCGTATGAGAGTCTCATTTGCTCGTGTCTAAGAACCAATCTCGTATGAGCGTCTCACTTGATCTTGTCTAGAGTTTTTACGTTATATCAATTTCATGCACCAAAGGAATATTTATCTGATTCATTATGCCAAACTAATAAATATTTTATAAATGAATTAAACAAAATAAACGTTTTTTATATACAAGTACTCCTGTATATTCTACTAGTTATGACACCAAAAATATGGGTGACAGCAATAAGGGAACGTGCTATCTATCAAAGTTACTTGATAAAACATAAACTCAAGCTACGCAAATTTTAGCTTCCTTAATTTTGCTACACCCCTTCCGTCCCCGATACGTCTCTGCACACTTTCTATTTCACGCCCAAGAATTTTAGTACTATTGTAAGGCCCAAATCCCTCTTTAACTGAATAGGTGTTACACCATCTTTAAAATTAGTCGATTTCAGGAAAAGAAAAGGAAATATTACTTATCAAACGCAATTGCGTTATTTTTTTATTTTTTTTTACATTATTCTCTTATCGTGAATTATATTTGACGCGTTATTGGACACACTACCGAACCATACGTTCTTTTAAACATAGAGAATGAATGTGATATAAACCATGATGAGTAAGGGGAGGGCAGCTTGGGAAAAGGAAGCAGTAGGAAACGGAAGCAGTCCCAGAAAAGGAAAAAAAAAAAATTATATATAAGAGATGATAGACACGGATATAAAAGAACAATTGTCATTGAATGTAATCTTGGTTCAAATCTACGCTGTATAATGGTCTCCTGTAATAAGTAGCATTCATTATATGACTCGTTTTGCATTTATTTTAATTTTATGCGATCAGACCTTTAAAACTTAACTATAACTCAATAATTGACCTGATGATCTCGAGAGCTCACTTCAAGATCTTGTTTAAAATAGTCCTCTTCTTGGTGGTTACTCAGAGGGATAACACAATTGGACATCACATCATTAAGAAATAGTGAGATTACTTCAATGTGGAAGTAGGTTCTACAAAATTTTTCTTTGTGGCTTCTTAGTAGGACATACTGCAGTATGCTATGGAATAGTTCTTTCTTTTCAATGTTGTAATGTTGGTGTGAACTTCGTAGCGATGCTTCTGTCGTGAGTCCTATCACCACGCTGTCCAAAAGTTGAAGGCTATGGCTGGGTCTTCTGGATGGTTACTGAGCTGAGTTCTTAGAATCTGGTCTCAGGGAACTGATCCTAAATCCAGAGCCTAGGTTGCGGTGATTTCTTGCACTGTGGCCATGTGTCGATTCAGCACCCTGGTGGGTGTAAGATCCATATGGGTAGCTCCAAAGGTACACTCATTTTAACTGATAATTTGAGTGGCGATCTTAAAAGAATAGCTCTAACATTTACAACGGTATGTATAGTCAATTAATTATAATTGATATTTGACTATATAAATGTCATGTCCTGTGTGAGATCAAAGACTTGGTAACTAGAAGCATAACTCTGCAGTTGCCCAAAAATGCCACCGCTCAATCGAAAGAAAAAATGACACGCGGGAAGCCAAAATATTTCCCCCCCCCCATTTTTTACTTCAACGTGAGTCTTTGGTGCCAGAGGACAACGTTCATTTTTACTCTCCCTTCCACCCCCAAACTGCTAAACTCTGAAACCCAATATTTTCATCCATTAACACTATAGTCGTATAGCCCTTTAGCTACCCTCGCTAGTTTGGCGCCCAGAAACATATGCCCCCTATGCCCACCTTAACCAAGCCTCTTTCCATTGGCATGCCCCCCCACCCAAAAATCTAAAGTGCCCCCTGGGGAAATTGTCTGAAAGAAACACTTTTTTGTGATACACGTGGAAGTCAGTTAAGATCTGCCAGTTCCCTTTACGCCATGGCTCTTGCTGTAAGGGGGACTACTGGTGTGATAGGACATATACTTATTGCAACAAATAAAGCTGCAAAGTCTATATAGACTTGGTCAGTTGCAGTCAATGCTCTCTCATGGCTTTGCTTCTGTTACACATCCGATGAGAAATTTTAATTAAAAACTTAAGAACAAATATTGCGAAGTCTTTTTTAAGTTAATGTTTATTCCATTTTATTATTTACATCTTCAGCGTGCAGTCCAATAAGTTCCGTATTGTCGAATGATTTCAGCCAGCCATATCATTATAATGGAGCTAAGTATTATGTCTCTAAAGCCTTCTACACCACCGACATGGCAGCTCTAGATGTGTGTAGGTCAATCTGTGGATACCTCGTTGAGGTGGATGATAATGTTGAGATGGACTTCCTGAAAACTCTTATGCACAAAGAAGACATAAGCGGGATACTGATAGCTGGAACTGACAAGGCCAAAGAAGGGACGTGGGTGTATCAGAGAACCAGTAAAACGATGACCTTCATGGCATGGGATTCCGGAGAGCCGAACAATTTTAGGGGACAAGAGCACTGCATCAAGATGTTGAAAGGAAGTGACAAGATGCAAGATGTAGTGTGCCGCTTTGCGTATTGGAAACTTAACTTTGTGTGTGAGGTGAAATAGGCAAATGCCATGGAATGGAGACAGGACTGTGCTTCCCAACACAAGCTTTCAAATAAATTATGGAATGCCATTGTCAAATCAATTTTGTGAAGTTGGAGAACCATATGGTAATCACTTTATTCAAAAGATATAAGATTCGAGTCTGGTCTATATTCTTAAACAAAAAAAAATCAGAAGAATTCTATCCGTCATTTCAATAAATTGTAAAAGAATGATATCATTCTTTTGTTATTATTGCTAGTAAAATTAAATTCTGTTGATGTCATCAAATTTCGACAATACAGTAGAATCCGGTTATGTCGATTGCCTCGTGTTTTGCCAAAATGTGTCGAGATAACCGATAATCGATATAAATAAAAACCAATATGTTGGCAATATATTAAAATTTGCTTGTAAGTTTTTTTTGTACACAATGTGCGTTAATTAATGGGATACACAATCACTTCGTTTTGGAGGATTTTTTTTTAAACACAAGAGTGTGACCGCGATTAGTTTAATGAAGAGATCGGCACGCTGTGAAAACTTACCTACATCTTTGATAACAACACAAGGCTTGTGTGGGGTGCCACTTTTCCAGATTATCCCGGAAATTGTCATTGGTAAAGCAAAATATGTTCAGCTACCGATTCGCGAGTTTTTATTTTCCCCAGCTGTGGATTCACCAGTAAAGTTCATTCAAAAACGGATTCTGAGTGAAAAAAAAAAAAAATTCAACGTGTGATAAAGTGTAAGATCCTATTAAGTATTAAATGATAAGCGGGATCCCTTTAAAAAAAAACAGGTACTGCGATCTCACTCTTTTGTTTTCAAGTCTTTCACTCTTCGCTTCTTGCTGTGTCAACGATTTTATTATTTCATTTCAATTACTACTGTTTTGTTGTTTTGTAATTTTCAAAAGACTGCATTGGGTTATGGGGATCGAGATAACCGAGGTTAAGTTACAAATTTGGCTCCTTTTATGCTCGAGATATCAGGGTACGGCAATATAAAAGAGTCGACATAACCGAAGAAGGAAATGCTAAGACAAAGAGAGACTTTGGCGAATTTACTTCAAAAACGTCGATATAACAGTGTTAGTGAGATGACCAAAGTCGAGATTAGCAGGTTCGACTGTACATTTTTTCTTCATAGCATAGAGTTGCGTAGTTTCGGGGGTACGGTAGTGCAGACCGTAACTGGTAATGCCATCTGAAGGGTTGATACCTCATTGAAAAACTACATATTTATTGAGCACACACTGCTCGGTCAAACCCAAATTCATAAAAGGATAACCAATCACAAGTGAATTTGTTTAGGCCCTTCTCAAGTTCAAAAAAAACTTTGTCAGTTTACTCTCGTTTTTATTGCGGCATGTCACATCTGCAATCCATCCCAATCACAATCTAGTTATGATCTATAACAGAGGCGTTGAGAATGAAGAGAACAGTGACTATACTTATTATATGCTAAAACACACGGTCACAATACACAGGGAACTGATCCCAAAACACTTAGAATGTAGCTATTCAATAACTTCTCACTTCTCTAGTTGATAAAGATATCACTATATTAAGACCAAGTCTGACAACATAGTATGGATTTAATAACTGACATCATTTCGTTTCCATCTTTGTTCTTATCTCATTGGTTCGTCTTTTCCAAGTGCTCATACTCTATTTATTACACGTGATAATATTAACATTACTTAACTCCCTTGTTTGTAAATCATTATCTCGAATCTGTGATACGGCCAATATTTAAAGATAAATAAGAATTGAACTCTTACTTATCATATGCCCGTCTCTATATTCATTACTTTTGATTTTTTTTTTATCTCATATTTTGTTTAAATTATTTATAGCAATCAATGAGATTGTTTACAGAGTAATTATTTCCATTGACTATGGGATTGCGATCAACATTGTGTCATGAAATGGATGTGGTGGGGTTGCAGTACAACTGGGTAAACAAGTTATTGTTTTCTAATCGAATCCAGGACAACAGGCATTATTCCGTTCAGAGCAAACCAATAAGGTTGACAGTCTGTTTGATGCCCATGATAATTGTAAAAAATGTAACTTGTAGGTAACTCTTGTTGACGTGTTACGTTACATCAAAGAATGCAAATCTAAATAAATAATTAAGGGTTTTTCTGGATACCAAGAGGGCAAATTACCTCGCCTAAGCTAAAATTCAATTGTGGCATTAATATGACCAACTAATAATTCAGCGTTCTAGTTATCCACCACATAGTAGCGTACATAAGAGGACGTGTAGGGCTACAGCCCAGGGGACCCTCTAGAATTAATACGTACGAACAACATTAAATAAATCGTTGTTGGTCTTTGGGGGGGGGGGCGCAATTTTGGATTTTGCTACAAGCAGCTTTAAGTAAAGGTACGCAACTGCACGCCCCCAATCCCCAACATTTTGTTCGTCCCCATATTTCTGTAGGTTGCTAGAAATGGACATCTCTTACTTCCCCTTAGTTCAACAGCTCATTACGTATGAACATTTCTTACTTTTCCCTCGCCACCCCAACCAATTCTAAAGCTTGTTATATATGGACATTTATTACCTCCTCAAAATTCTAGAGCTTTTTTTACCTCCCTTAATTCAGTAGCTTGCGATGTATGGAAACACTATAGAATTCCATAAGTACTTAACATTATATCATTAAAAAACTGTAATTATTTCCAAATCAAATCAAAGTCCACAAAAGAAGAAAAAAAAAAAGCTTGATCCCTAGAAGGTTGGGAACCCCTGGAAGCGTTCCTCTTTTGCCTTCAGGTTAATCCAGCCTTGAGCCTTATGGAAATTCTCCAGTTGGAGCGAACACGTTAAATTGTAGTTGATAGGGCTGAAAACACTTCAGGCAAAAACAAACCAGAAATATGAAAATCCAAACTAAAATAGTTAAAATGTATGTTGATGATTTGTCTCGTGACATGGGGTTAGGGTTTCAAATAGATACATCATATTATTTAAACGAGTTCCTTAGAAACTAGGACGACTTGAGTTTATTTGAATATGGTATTTTTTAAATACAACATTAAATAGCAATGATATGAGCCAAAATATTTATTTCAAAATTGAAGTCAACTCCAAAAGCAGTCAAGTCAATTACCATCCTGCGTTGCTAAAATACAAACGGCTGGTTTTTGGATTGTGGAAGATTTTTCTTTTAGCCCTAACCTTTAAAATATCCATCTGATCAGATTGATTTGCTTACGATGCGCCTTAACATCTCTACAAAAGAAGGTTTTCAAAGGCTAGTTAATCGTCTATCACACGCCTGTAAAGAATCTGCTCTTTCGATTAATCTATAGAAAACACATGCAATGATGCACGAAGCAACGTCCCCTCCAATCTTGTCTATTGAGGGATATAATCTTTTGATTGTTGATAATTTCACATACATTGGATCCATTATTTCTAGTTCTCACTCCGTTGAAGAGATACATATCAGGATCGGAAAAGCAGCAACAACTAGGTCTAAACTGAATAAGCGGTTGTGGAATAATAACAATCTAACTGATTAAACAAAAATAAGTGCATATAAGGCATCTGTGCTTAGTACGCTCCTATATGGTATGGAAGTGTGGACCACATGTACCAGTCAGGAGCGGAAACTCAACAGCTTCCATCAAAGTGGTCGCATTTTACGCATTAGTTGGCATGACAAGGTGCCTAACACGGAGGTATTGGAAACTATACACATGTTTAGCATATTCTCCTTTTTTATTAAGAGGCGCCTTTGCTGGTTAGGCCACGTAAGGAGAATGGATGAAGGCCGTATTGCAAAAAAATGCTGCTGTATGGAGATTTGGAAGAAGGAACAACATTTATTGCAGGGCCACGCCTGAGATTTAAGGACGTTTGCAAAAGGAGCATGAGGGGAGCCAATATTGAAAACAACGAATGGGAGCTCATTGCCGAACAACTTCCAGCTGGCGAACAGCAGTGTATAAAGGAGTAAAAAAGACTGAAGATAATATTCTCCTGCAGGAAATGCAGTCGAAATTGTCAGTCTAGAAACGGCCTAGTGAGCCACTCGTCAAAATGTAGGACTACATGGTTACTCCATCGTCTAGTGAAGACGGAAGGATGCCATATATACCCATTAAATGCCCTTGTGATAGCCAATGCGATAAATTGATGGTGTCACCAATTGAGGTCAATCTATGGTGGTATCACCCGTAAGATAAACATGGTATTAATCAGTGAGTTAAACTAATGTTTTTACGTATTTGCAGCAATCCTGTTTAATGACCCAAAACGATATTAAGCTTTAACACAATGAGCCTATCAAAAATGTTTTTTTTTTACTTAATCACTCACCCTTTGGAAAACAACGTAAAGTAGATTACAAAATTCAACAATACAAATTGTGTCCTCTATAAATGTACAACAAAGCGATGTTTGAACTATCATCTTTCAAAATTTAGTTTCATTGGCATTTTTGTAAAGCACGTTCCACTGTAGACGGCTTGGATTACACACTTTGAAAGGAAATTACATGCATTCAAATTATTTAAATTTCAGGTTTTAAGCGAATGAGATGCAGTCCTTGTTCCTATATGACTTCAAATATACATGGAATGCTCATAAAATCTATTTTATTGGGCATGTTAAATGTATTTAGGAATTGTATTGATTATGTAATCATTTAGGTAGCGGAATAATATTAGACTGAGTTCAACTGGTTATTCACCCCCCCCTCATGGAATGCTCATAAAATCTATTTTATTGGGCATGTTAAATGTATTTAGGAATTGTATTGATTATGTAATCATTTAGGTAGCGGAATAATATTAGACTGAGTTCAACTGGTTATTCCCCCCCCCCCCCCATGAAAATCTAAAGTGTCCCCGGGGGAAATAGTCTGAAAGAAACACTGTCTGTGATACACGTGGAAGTCAGTTAAGATCTGCCAGTTCCTTTAAGGCCACGGCTCTTGCTGTAAAGGGGACTACTGGTTGGATAGGACATATACTTATTGCAACAAATAAAGCTGCAAAGTCTATAAAAGGCTTATATTTTCTTTTACACGCCACTAACTTCAAGTTTCTAAATTAACTTTGACAGTACCGAAGTGCAACTGTCTGGTAATCGTTTTTTATATTGTGTCCCAAGAATCAGTTTCCACCGACTGATTTTGCTAAATATCAACCAACATAGTATTTCAGTGTTGAGCGTTAGCTGTTTCGTACAGATTCGAAAGAAATAATACTTAATTTTTTTTAGACTACGTCAGTTGCAGTCATTGTTCTCTCATAGCTTTTCTTCTGGTACACATCCAATGAGAAATTTTATTTAAAATTAAAACAAATTTATTTATAAGTCTTTTTTTTTTTTAAAGTTAATGTTTATTCCATTTTATTATTTACATCTTCAGCGTGCAGTCCAAAAAGTTCCGTATTGTCGAATGATTTCCGCCAGCCATATCATTATAATGGAGATAAGTATTATGTCTCTAAAGCCCTCTACACCACCGACATGGCAGCTCTAGATGTGTGTAGGTCAATCTGTGGATACCTCGTCGAGGTGGATGATAATGCTGAGATGGCCTTCCTTAAAACTATTATAGACACAGAAAAGATAAACGGGACACTGATAGCTGGAACTGACAAGGCCAAAGAAGGAACGTGGGTGTATCAGAGAACCGGGAAAACTTTGACCTTTACGGCATGGCAATCCGGAGAGCCGAACAATGTTGGGGGAGAAGAACACTGCATGAATATGTTGAAAGAAAGAAGCCTGATGTACGATGTAGCCTGTCAGTTAGCCGGTTGGAAACTCAACTTTGTCTGTGAGGTGAAATAGGTATATGCCATAGAATGGAGACTGGCTGGTGCTTCCCAACACAGCCTTTTAAATAAATTATGGAATGCCATTGTCAACTCAATTTTGTGAAGTTGGAGAGCCATATGGCAATCTCTTTATATAAATGATATTAAATTCGAATCTGGTACATTTTCTTTAAAAAAAAAAAATGCACAATTTAGAATTCTATCCATCGTTTCAATAAATTCAAACAGAAAGATATCATGTTTGTTGTTGTTATTATTATTAGTAAAATTAAAAGTCTTATTGATGTCATCGAATTTTGACAATACAGTAGAACCCGGTTATGGCGATGGCCTTGGAGTTTGCCAAAAATTGCTGAGGAAACCGATGATCGAGATTAACTAAAACTAATATGGTGGCAATATTTTAAAATTTGCTTGAAAGTTCTTGATGCACACAACGTGTGTTTATAAAATGGATGCACCAGCACGTGTTTTTGAATGTTTTATTTTTATTTTTTTTATTTTTTACTTCACAGTGGTACCACGAGTTGTTTGATAAAAAGATCGGCACGCTGTGAAAACTTACCTAAATGTTTGATAAAACCATAAGGCTTGTGTGGGGTGCAACTTTTCCGGATTATCCCGGAAAGTATGATTGGTAAAGCAAAATATGTTTAGTTCCAGATTCACGAGTTGTTTTTTTTATTTTCTCTCGCTGTGGATTCGCCGGTACAGTTTATTCAAAAACAGATTCTGAGTTTAAAAAAAAAAATTCAAAGTTTCTTAAAGTGTGAAATCCTATTAATTTTAAGCAACAATCGGGTTCTCTATAAATAGAACATTGACTGCGACCTCTCACTATTTTTTTTGCAAGCATTTTACTCTTCGCTTATTGCTGTGTCAAGTTAATTGCGCGGACAACAATAATGTCATTTCATTTCAATTACTATAGCTCAAGGTAGGCAAGATTCTGTTGTTGTATAATTTTCAAAAGATTGCGTTTGGTCTTGGAGATCGAGATAACCGAGGTTAAGTTGCATATTTTGGCTCCTTTTGTGCTCGAGATATCAGGGTTCTATTTTTTAAAAGAGTCGACATAACCGAGGAGAAAATGTTAAGACAAAGAAGGATTTTGGCGAATTTACTTCAAAAGCGTCGATATAACAGTGTTTGTGAAGTGACCAAGGTCGAGATAAGCTCTTTCGACTATACATTATTGCTTTCATAGCATATTGTTGTGTAGTTTCGGGGGTACGATAGTGCAGACAATACCTGGTAATACCATCTCAAAGGGTTGATAACTAATTGAAAAATTGCATATTTGTTGAGCACACACTGCTCGGTCAAACCCAAAGACATAAAAGGATAACCAATCACAAGTGAATGTGTTTAGGCCCTTCTCATGTTCTAAAAAAACCTTTTTAGTTTACTCTCGTTGTTATTGCGGCTTGTTACATCTACAATTCCTCACAATCACAATCTACTTATGTTCTATAACAGAGGCGTTCTAGATGAAGTGAACAGATGCTATACTTTATTATATGCTAAAACACACGATCACAACTATTATATATAGTTAACACTTGAACTGATCCCAAAACACTTAGAATATTGCTTCTCAGTAACTTCTCACTTTTCTACTTGATAAAGATATCACTATACTATGACAAAATCTTACAACATAAAATGGACTTAATAACCGTTATCCTTTCGTTTCCATCTTTGTTCTTATCTCATTGGTTCGTCTTTTCCAAACGCGCACTCTCTATAAATTACACGTGATAACTCTCACATTACTTAACTCTCTTGTAAATCATTATCTCGTATCTGTGACACCCTCCCTCTTCATTTTTTTTACAAAATATGTAATACATTTTTACTTATTACTTATAATCCAAGTCAAATAATTATAAATTAAAAATCTTGTTTTATTGATATCATAGTCAAGAATTGAAAAAAAAATAACATCACCATCGATAGTTAATTAATTTCATCATAATGATTATTAATAACTGTAAAGTCAAAATATGAACACTCTCTTATTTTTTAACAATTTGCCCTGTTTTTACACGAACTATTATAATCATACTTTATTTTCTTTCTTAAAATATCGTTACGTCATAGAAATATATTTCTAAATTGTACTTCTAAACAAAGTTGTTGCTTAACTTGTACATAACAATTGTACACAAATTGTTCAATCTTCATTGTGTCTACAAAAATTCCTTTGCTTTATTTTTTTTTTTTTTTTAATTTTTTTTTTTGCAGTGCATTTATTTTAAAATGATGTGTTAAGCCATAGTTGAACTATTTGTTATCAATCATTCTGGATAAAATGTCTGGCGTGTGGTTATCCACTCCCTCGATTGACTATTATAATCTCGCAACATTAAAGGAAACTTTGTAATCCCAGCATTATTGACTTTGTTTTTGTTGAAATTCAGTAGTGGTTTAAGATCAACTGATACAGTGAATGTTATACCCAAAAGATACTTTTGTAGTCGAATTATAGCCCACACAATTGGTAAGCATTCTAATTCTATAAAAGCATATTTCTTTTCAGCATTATCAATTTTTTTTCTAAGATGTAATAAAGGTATATTAATATTACAGTATGATTGCATTAAACAAGCCCATTTTCCCTTCTCTGGAAGCATCAGTTTGCTGCAATTACTGGTTTGTCATATATAATTGGTCTTAAGGTTGGTTCTGATTGAAATTGCAATTTTATTTGTCGTAAAGCTGCATAACATTCTTGATTTCATTGCACTTTATTATTTCGATCCTTTTGTGTAAATTTGACTAGAGGATGAAACATCTGAGCAAAATTTGATATGAACTGTCGGTAGAAATTGCTAAGTCCTATCAATGGTTTTATTTGTTTCTTGTCCACTGGCATAGCTAATTTAAATATTTTCCCTGCAAGCTCCTCAGTAGGTTTAATTTGATTATTTTCTATGGCATAAACTAAAAAATCAAATATTTATAGTCCAATATTTAATTTGTCAGGTGAAATTGTGAGACCATTCTTTGTTAGTATTGCAAAAAATTCTTCTAGGGTTGTTAGATGTGTTGTCCAGTCTTTAGTGAAGACATACATGTCATCAACAGAGTGTCTAATATTTGGCATCTTGTTTAAGATCATGTTTATCATTTTTACAAATGTAGCACTACTGTTCACTAACCCAAATGCCATAACATTCCACTCATAAAAACCATTGTGTGTTACAAATGCTGTGAAGTGTTTAGCTTCCTCTTCCATTTTAATTTGCCAAAATCCTCTTGTTAAGTCCACATGTGTAAATATATTGTTCCTTGCTATTTCATTGGTAAGATCTTCTGGATTAGGCAAAGGTTCTCTGTCTATGAAAGTAACTTGATTTAATCATCTGTAATCACAACACAGTCTAATTTGTCCATTTTTTTTTACAATAACAGGAGAAGAATATGCAGAATTTGAGTTTCTTATCAAATTATGTTCCAATAAATTCTTTATTTCTTCTTCAGCATTTCTGTAGTGATAAGGTATTCGAGATGGCTTTATTTTAAATGGAGTATCATCTGTTACTCTGATGTGAGGTTTTATTACTTCTGTGTTGCATGGTGTATTGATAATAGTTGAACTGTATTTTTGTAATATACCTTTCAGCTTCAGTCTGATTTCTTTAGGTATATCCTTTAAAAACCTTATATTTTCTATGATGTCTTTCTTGTCTAGTTATAGCAAATGCATTTTAAATTCTTCATTTTCTTCCGTAGTTTTAATATTTGCAATTACATTTATAGCATTTTCATTCTTCATTGAGGTTAATTTGTTATCTTCTATAACTTCTTTTATCATGGTTTGCAGTTTTGGTAGTTCATCAAATTTTCTTGGAAAATCAATGTAAGATAACTTGATTTTTCCTTTTTGATACTTATTATGTAATCACCGTTACTAATGCTTTTTTATTAACGTGTGTTGACCTTTCCACGACTTTTTAAATTCAACTTTCTGTTGTAGAAAAAAGAAATACCTTGTCTTGAGGTTCTAGTTCTCTAAGGTATCTATTAGTGTTGACTATATCTCTATATTTACTGCTTTTATTTTGTTAGTTTTTCTTGGCTTATATTTAACAGCATACATAATTTCTTTTCTTGTCTTGGTTACAAGACATATGGAGAAGTAGCTTTTTCTTTATTCAATAACCACTCCTTATGTTATGATTTTAATGGGCTTTTAGAATTTGCTCAAAAAACAAGCTCAAATGGTAAGAAACCTGTAGTTTCATGTGGTATTTCTCTCTAAGCACAAAGTACCAGGGGTAAAAATCTGCCCCAATCTTCTTGTTTATCATTGACAACTTTCGTTAACATCATCTTCATCAATTTATTAGGTCTTTCTATTGCACCAATCGCTTGTGGTTCTATCTTGCTGCAAAGGTCTGTGTTATATTCAGCATATGAGTGAAAGCTGCAGTAATTTGTGACCTAAACTGCGTTCTATTATGTGTAAAATATTGTCAGAAAATCATAATTTTGTAAAAAGTTAATAATAGTGCACGAGAAATGCTCTACGCTGCATTTATCTTAATTGTATAGCCTCGATCCACCGTGTTAGAAAGTCTATTATTGTTAAGGCATATTTCTTCTGTCTTTTTGTTGTTGCTATTGGACCAATAAAGTCAATTGAAATGTTTTTTTCAAATGGTCTTGATGCTAGATCCATATTTTGTAGTGGATCCTTATCAATAGCGTTATTTGAATAGATATATCTATTAGCGTAGTTATCCGAAATTATATTTATGCGCTAGTGAACTCATTATTTAACAGCACTGTGGCGTATCTATATATAGCCTGAGTGGTGGTGGTCTTTGACCTCTTCTGGCGAATTATATTTATAGACTAGCAAAATACCCGCGCTTGGCAGCTGAGAGCCTTTTCTAAAGAAAAAAAAGGTAAGAAATGTTCAAGTATCTGCATATTAAGGAGACTTTTCATGAATTCCTTTGCGAAAATCAATCCTGCCTAAAAACAATATCAACTTTTTGTAGGCTCTGTCCTTGGCACCCCGATCCTGGTAAGACACCAATTCTAATGAGTCCCCAATCCCATTCTGAACCCGATCTCTGCGAAAACCCTTTTTTTCGGTGTGATTCCATCCCCGTTGGGATCCTATTTTCTTGTATCTCCAGATCCAGGGTAAATCTAGATAGCTTTGGGATTCTGATCCCGTCAGTGTCTTGAGCCCATTGGGATCCCGATCATAGTGGAAC